TGGCTCAGCCAGCACCGTTGGATCTTTTGTGCTCCTCCCACTCAGGCATCACTTATGTGTACCATCCCCATGAGGCTGGCTGACTCCAAGAAGTTAACATAAAAGCAAGCTTCATCTCATAATTATGAAGATTAACACAATCATAAAGAAGAAACATGTTTGATGTGTGACATTTTTTAAATGGCAATGAACAATTACACTGTGGCCAATCACAAGTACATCAAACTAGGCATTCACAGAATTCATATAAAATAAGCATTCACAAACTAGAAAGGAACATAAAATATTGGGAACAGTTGAGTATTAAGCTGGTTGGTCTCTAAGTAATGTTCCTGCTTCTCTTTTATGGTTACATTTGTGCAATAAATTAGAAAACACGAGGTAGCCAAAGAATATATGAAAAAATGTAGTAATCATCAGAGAAATGCAAATTAAAACCACAATGAGATATTCCTTCACACCTGTTAGAATGGGTACTATAAAAAAGACAGAAGATAACAAGTATTGGTGAGGATGTGGAGAAATGGGAACCCTGTACACTGTTGGTGAGAATGTCTATCAATATAACCATTACAGAGAACAGTATGGAGGTTCCTCAAAAAATTAAAAATAAGGCCAAGGCAGTAGGATCACTAAAGACTAAGAGTTCAAGAACAGCCTGGGCAACATAGTGAGACCCTATCTCTACACACAAAGAATTTAAAAATTAACCCCAGGAATAGGGCATGCACCTGTGGTCCCAGCCACTTGGAAGGATGAGGTGGGAGGATCACTTGAGCCCAGGAGTTTGAGGCCGCAGTGAGCTGAGATCGCACCACTGCACTCCAGTCTGGGTGACAAAGAGAGGCCCTGTTTCTATTTAAAAAAAAAAAAAAGGCCAGCACAGTGGCTCATGCCTGTGTAATCCTAGCACTTTAGGAGGCAGAGGTGGGTGGATCACCTGAGATCAGGAGTTCCAGACCAGCCTGGTCAACATGGCAAAACTACGTCTCTACTAAAAATACAAAACTTACCCGAGTGCCATGATGCATGCCTATGACCCCAGCTACTTGGGAAGAGGCTGAGGCAGGAGAATTGCTTGAATCCAGGAGGCGGGAAGCTGCAGTTAACCGAGATCATGCCACTGCACTCCAGCCTGGGTGACAGAGCAAGACTCCATTTCAAGGGAAAAAAAAAAAAAAAAAAGCTACCATATGATCCAGCAATCCTATTATGACATATACAGCCTAAGGAAATGAAATCAGCAGGTATCAGCATGTCAAAGAGATGTCTGCATTCCCATGTTTACCACAGCATTACTCACAATAGCCAAGATACAGAATCAACCTAAATATTCATCAGTGGATGAATGAATAAAGAAAATGTAATATATACACAATGGAATACTATTCGGCCTGTAAAAAGAAGAAAATTCTATCATCTGTGATAACACATATGAACCTGGAGGATACCATGTTAAGAGTGCATGCTTGGCTGGGCGCGGTGGCTCACGCCTGTAATCCCAGCACTTTGGGAGGCCAAGGTGGGTGGATCACGAGGTCAGAAGATCAAGACCATCCTGGCCAACATGGTGAAACCCCATCTCTACTAAACTACAAAAAAGTCCCAGCTACTCAGGAGGCTGAGGCAGAGGAATCGCTTGAACCTGGGAGGTGGTGGTTGCAGTGAGCTGAGATCGCACCACTGCACTCCAACCTGGCAACAGTGCAAGACTCCGGCTCAAAAAAAAACAAAAAACAACAACAAAAAAAAGACTGCATGCTCTCACTTTTATGTGGAGCTAAGAAAACTGAACTCATAGAAGCAGAGTAGAGTTGCCAGGGGCTGCTGGAGGGGCAGGGAAGGTGCTGGTCAGAGGACAAAAATTCGGTTAGACTAGAGGAATAAGTTCAAGAGATCTACTGTACATCATGGTGACTACAGTTAGTAACAATGTATTATATTCTCAAAAATCTCTGAGAGAACAGACATTAAGTGTTTTCACAAAAATAGCATGTGAGGTAATGCAAATGTTAAATAGTTCAATTTAGCCATCCTACAATGTACACATATATTTCAAAAACATGTTGCACATGATAAATATATGAAGTTTGTCTCAATACAAAATAAATTTGGCTGGGCATGATGGCTCAAGCCTGTAATCCTAGCACTTTAGGAGGCCAAGGCAGGTAGACTGCTTGAGCCCATGAGTTCAAGACCAGCCTAGGCAACATAACAAAACCTCATCTCTACAAAAAATTTTAAAAGTAGCTGGGCATGTGGGCCCATGCCTGTGTTTCCAGCTACTCCAGAGGCTGAGGAGGGAGAATCACTTGAGCCCAATGGGTGGTGGCTGCAGTGAGCCAAGATTGTGCCACTATACTCCAGCCTGAATGACAAAGTGAGACTCCATCTCAATCAATCAATTTATTTATTTAAAAATTTTTTTGATGTAAAACAATTAAAAACAGAAGGAATAAATTCTATCATAGCAATATACAGAGAGATGGGGTGGGAAAAACAAATATTTTCAGAGAACAAAGAGTACATTTAAAATACCAATAGCAAGATCAGGTAAATCATAGATTAGAAAACTAAATACTGCTTCAGTGGTGATTCTCATGAGCTGAAAATAAAATATTTTTAATCCTTTTTTTCATTCACCTTCTTACCCAAAGAATATGCTAGTGGGGCTGTTCTTTGGTAGGTCATCTTCTAACCTGAACTGATTAAGGAAATGGTAACATTCTGAAATAAATGATTTTTTTTTTCATGTATTCAACAAGTATTAATGGAGTGGCAGGTAGGAGACACAAATGAACATTCAACATCTTCATATACCACAAAATTACAAAATAGCTTATTGGTTTTTAAGAACCTAAGCTATTAGGATTTTTAAAATATCACTCTTCATAAATTGTTTTCTCAAGAAGTTCCAATAATTTCTTTGTTGTCAAATCTAATTTTTTCCCTTAATCCTCATCCTTCTCAATTTTCACTGGCTGCTAACTTTATGAACTATTTGTTTCTTCTTTCTGTCATTCTTTTTATTCATATCTGAGAGTGGTATCAACCACTCAGGTTCCCCCATGCAAGGAACTTATAACCATATTTAAAATTTCCTTCCCCTTTCTTTTTATAACCAACGAGCTAGCCACTAAATCCCATTAGCAGTTTTTGGAAATATTCCCATGTTTTTCCTTTCCTTTCCTTTTGATCTGAATCAAGTCTAGGCCCTCAGAATAGCCCACCTAATTTTCTGAAACTGCTTTCTCACAGGTCTTCCTGATTCCAGCCTCTCTCCTCTTCAGGGCACACTGGACTAATATCCCCTAAATATCCTGTTGATGTTTCTGTTCCAGAATCTACACACGTTTCTTATCTCCTGCTGCATCAATGTCAAACTTCCTCCCTTGGCTTTCAAGGCTACGTGTAACCTCGTTCCAATCAGCATATCCACCCTCATGCACCTTTTTACTTTATGGTCATAAGCTGTTTAACTTTTAAAACTTGTTCAATTTACCTACCTTAAAGCCATTAGATTCTAGACAAGGCCTGGGGCATGTGGAATTAGCCATGCCCCCTAGCTATACAAAGATTATAAAGAAAGAGATTTTATATAAGAAAGGATCTTGTATAGTAAATTCTTGTCCTAAAGTAAAATGACTGGACGTTTAAAAGAGGGATGTTTAGGGCAAGTCAGAAAGTCCATGAGGGTCTCAGATGGTCTGTGTTAAGTCATGAAAGGATTTTTGAAAGAGAATTTATGCAAGAAATGTTATACAAGTGAAAGGTTGTTAGGCCTCCTAAACACTTCATAAAATGTCACTATAACTCTTACTGTACAACTTGCCTGCTTAAGTAAGGTAAGGCCTGGGGACACGTGGAGTTAGCCACATGTCTGCCTGGTATGTCCTGGGCTAGGCTCCACACCTAGTACACAATTAAAACTGCTTACTAACCAGCGTTTTCACCAAAAGTGGAAGTTGCTAAAAGTTAACCTTGTAACATGTAATTAAGACTACTGAAGAAACACTTTTACCTGTAAGGTGTGTAAGGAAAGTAGAATATACTTCTGGTAAAAGATTATAAGCAGGCATGGAAATGGTTTTTTTTTGCCTAAAAGGTTAAAGGATTGTTTTAAGTTCGATAGAATAAAGCTAAAGGTTTGAACAGTTGTGGAAGGTTTGTAAAGAATTAATTGTAAAAGAGATTCTGTGTGTGAACATTGGCTAAATTAAAAGGGTATTATTCAGTTTTTCTATAAATATTGGAATTAAAGCAAAACAGGTTTTTCTTAGAGCAAAAACCTGCTTATGATCTGCTCTTTAGCAAAAACTGGTAAAGGGTTATAAAAGGTTTATGAGAATCTTACCTTATGGTCAAACTGATTAAGAATGAATAGATTTATTTATTTATAAGGTTTTATTAAGAATTGGCAAAACCCTGTCTCTATTAAAAATACAAAAAATTAACTGGGAGTGGTGGCAGCCTCCCACAGTCCCAGCTACTTGGGAGGTTGAGACAGGAGAACCGTTTGAACCCAGGAGGCAGAGGTTGCAGTGAGCAAAGATCGCACCGCCATACTCCAGTCTGGGTGACAGAGCGAGACTCTGTCTCAAAAAAAAAAAAAAAAAAATTGGGTTTAATATGAATAATGTGCTAATGTAACAGTGACATTTGGCTTATTTGGTATAAAAATCATACAGGAAGCATTATCAAATGTGAAATGATGTTTTGCTTTCTTTGGACTATGTTTACATAAACATGTTACTTGTATATTCTAAAGTTATGGGGAAACTCCTATAATTCTAATATTATTTAGTGTATGTTATTAATAATTATAATTGTTATATAAAATTCTGTGTACCACAGAAGTAACCAAATTTCCTTATCAATTGTGGCTTTAATAGTGGCTGTCCTAAAGCTTTTTATCATCCACAGACAATTGCCTTGTTTTAATCTTCTTTAGAATGTGGCTTATAATAAATTATTGAACTCTTATGCCTTCTTAAATGCAGCTTTTCTGGTAACTCTGGAGAATGTAATATCAGAATAAAGAAAAATCTTTCAGGACTCTCATGGAGAGTTGAAATGTTCATGAACATCAAGCAAAACAGGAGTTAACTAAATTCACTGAACCAATAAAAAAACTGAAGTAATCTTTTAAACTTTGCTTAAAACATTGCTGATCCTTTGTTTTGTTTTTCGGAGTCAAGTAAACTTTTCTTTTAAGCTATTTATAGCTCTTAACAGTTAAATATACTCCTATGCACAAAATTGGAGCATGTGTTTCTCTCTACCTGATTTCTCCAGAATTTGGCAACTAGTTGTGAGTATTCTTAACTTACGGCAATATAGTTATTTGCAAAGGTGCAATAAGAATCTGTTTTCTTTTGTAACAGGACACAACTGGAGAAATTGGTTATTTTACCAAGGCTTTGACTGAAATGGTATGTTTTCCTTTAAGGAATTAAACTTGACTTATAGAGCCAATAAGTCTATGGGGAACTGGCCTCATACCTTGTCTACAACAGTCCCTGTGCAGGGTTTCTGACTTATAGTAAGTAAAGAACATCACTTTCTCACAGGTCCAAGAGCCCCAAATTATCTTGGGACCTCAAAAGGAATTTACCCAACTCACAGGTATTTGAGGGTACAAACTCATGACAGGGCTCAGCTTTATAAACATCTTATCTGAGATTCCTTACAAAACAGAATTCCATCAAAGCCAATTTAAAAGCCTATGTGAAAAATAATTATTCTTGTTGAACTTTATACAAATAATCAGGCCAAGTATAATAAAGCAAATCAGTCTTACCATAATTTGTCTTTAGTAAAAATGGAAAACTAGAGAGAGAAATGTTAAGTTTCAAGAACTATGGTACACTTGTTGTTAAATTCTAATCTCATCAGTTGTTTTTAAGTTTGTTTCTGCAATTTAGTCTAAGCCTGCTTATTCCTGTGAACCAACCAGTGATCTCTGACTGCTGCTCAGAATAAACAAAGGGGATGGATAATGTAAAAATCTGAATAAGTATTCTAATTCTGGGCACATTACAATCAGCTAACAACCCCACATCAGCTTAATTCCAATAGTTGCCCAATTGATGAAAAGTCTTCTAATTTGGTTTACGTGAAATAACTTTACTTATTTTGCTTTATTCTTGTGGAATATATTGCTGTTATACTTTCTGTGTAGACAAGCTTACTGAATGTCTTCTTAGTCTTCCAGATAGCACCTTTTGTCAAAACTCAAGAGTTATGAATGGACCTTGCCACACTGATGCTTTCTGACTAAGCTCCTCTCTACTGTGAATGTCAAAGACCCTAACAGTTAGGCAGGAATATAATCGTCCCTATTCAGCCTGAAGAAGTTACAGAAGATGAATCTTCATCACTCTGCAATCCTTAGGATTAAGAGGTCTCTTATAAAAGGGAGGAGGAGAATGTCAGAGGCATGCGAACCAGAACAACTCCATCCTAAATAGAAGCTGAGTAAAATGAGGCTGAAACCTAACAGGCTGCATTCCCAGTTAAGGCATTCTAAGTAACAGGATGAGACAGGAGGTTGGCACAAGATCCAGGTCATAAAGACCCTGCTGATAAAACAGACTGCAGTAAAGAAGGCGGCTAAATCCTACAAAAACCAAGATGGCCACAAGAGGACCTCTGGTCATCCTCACTACTACACTCCCCCCAGTGCCATGACAGGTTACAAATGCCATGGCAATGTCAGGAAGTTACCCTATGTGGTCTAAAAAGGGAAGGCACGAATAATCCACTCCTTGTTTGGCATATCATCAAGAAATAACTATACAAATGGGCAACCAGCAGCCCTTGTCCTGTCTATGGAATAGTCATTCTTTTACTCCTTTACTTTCTTAATAAACTTGCTTTCACTTCACACTATGGACTTGCCCTGAATTCTTTCTCACGCGAGATCCAAGAATCCTCTCTTGGGGTCTGGATTATGCCCCCTTTCCTGTAACAAAAATAGTGACAAAACAAGAAGCTTCATAAAAATAAGGTGTATAAGACAGATAACAAAAATCACAGCACATTACTTCATGCTGCAGGGCACAATATATATATAGTCACAATAATATCCATACTACTTAAATTGACTACACACAGAACATGCAAGACTATTTTCTAGAACATATGAATACTGTCATTCTTGCTAGTGAAAAAGGTAAAATACAGGTGAAAGAAACTGGGACGTAAGGAAGAAAGCAGAAAGAACAGGCAAAAAGGATGGCAGCAATAATATCCACCCTCACCTTACAAATAGGGTGTCAAAGATGCTATTGACAAGAAATAAAGATGAAATACATTACTAAAATAAAAGCAATAACCAAGAAAGAAACTAAAACAGTGATTTTATGACACTGGGAGGGAGGTGCAAGGCCAAGTGTTAAATCCTCATTTATCATAAGAAGAATCAACAAAATTGGGGGAAAAAATAGCAACATTAAAAGAATGAGAACAGAAGCCACAGGCTGGGAGAAAATAGATGCAAAAGACATATTTGATAAAGGACTATTATCCAAAATATACAAAGAATTCTCAAAACTCAACAATAAGAAAATGAGGGCTGGGTGCACCTATAATCCCACCATAGTACTTTGGGAGGCCAGGGCAGGAGGATCACTTGTGTCCAGCAGTTCAACACCAGCCTGGGAGGTCTTGAGACCCCTGTCTCAAGGGGTCTCCCTGCAAAGTAAGACTCGTCTCATCAAAAAAATAAAAAATTAGCTGGGTGTGGTGGCTTACTCTTGTAGTTCCAACTACTAAGGAGGCTGAGGAAGGAGGATCACTTGAGCCCAGTGGGTAAAGGCTGCCGTGAGTCATAATTGTGCCACTGCACTCCAGCCTGGGCAACAGAGTGAGACACTGTCTCAAAAAAGAAAATGAACATCTGACTAAAAATGAAAAAAATATCTGAATAGACACCTTACCAAAGAAGATATATAGGTGGAAAATGAGCATATGAAAAGCTGCTCCATATCATATATCTGTAGGGAATTTCAAATTAACACAAGAGTGAGATATCACTACACAACTATTAAAATGGCTAAAATCCAAAACAGTAAGACCACTAAATACTAGAGAGGGTGTGGAACAACAAGGGACTCTCATTGCTAGTAGGAATGCAAACGAATTCACCCACTTTGGAAGACAGTTTGATGGTTTCTTAGAAAACTAAACATACTGTCCTCTATGATCCAACAGTAGCACTCCTTGGTATTTAGCCAAATGAGTCAAAAACATATGTCCACACAAAAATCTGCACATGGATGTTTACAGCAGCTGTACTCATAACTGCCAAAACTTGATAGCAACCAACAGTGGTACATCCAGATGATGGAATATTAGTATCACCAGGCCCTTAAAATGAAATAACTATCAAGCTATGAAAAGACATGAAAGAACCTTAAATGCATTTACTAAGTTAAAGAAGCCAGTCTGAAAAAGCTACATATAGAATTATTCCAACTATGACATTCTGGAAGAGACAAAACTACAGAGACCGTAGTTTTGCAAAACTATAGTCTTTTTACTTACAAAAGCAAAAAGATCAATGGTTGCCAGGGGTTGCAGGGAGACAGGGATGAACAGGTGAACCACTGTACCTGCCTATTCATCCCCTACCCCCAAGGGAGGGAGGCAAGGTGGAAGAATCGCTTGAGTCCAAGAGTTCCAGACCAGCCTGGGCAAGACAGCAAGACCCTGTCTCTACAAAAATCTTGGATACATGGCATTATACATTTATCCAAACCTACAGAATGCACAATGCCAAGAGTGAACCTCAATGTAAACCATGGACTCTGAGTAATGAATGATATATCAGTGTGGGTTCACTGATTGTAACAATGTGCCACTCTGTGGGGAGATGCTGATAAGGAAGAAGCTGTGTTTGTTTGGGAACAGGAGTACAGTATAGGAAAACTTGTACTTTTCACTCAATTTTGCAGTGCCTAAAACTGCTCTTTAAAAAATAGTGTTTATTTTTTAAAAAGGCAGATAAGCATCATCAAGTGGTTACCTTTGAGAAGACAGACAAGAAATGGGAAGGGGTAGGGCAGCAGCAGTCCTGCTTTCTGTAATAAGCTCCTTGTCCTAGTTCACTTTTTTAACCCTTGTACATGGTACTTTGATAATGAAAATTAAGAAAAAGAAATGTAAATGTTTATGACTACAATGTGGAAACAGGCAATTAGCAATCCGTTGGTTTTATGGGCAGCAGTGATCCTCTGGACTTAGAACAAATGAGATAAAAGAAGTTTGAGGCAATTCAGCAAGCACATACACAGCCATAAGGAACTAAGTCTGTTATCAAATCTTGGGGCCCCACCTTGACTGTAATAGAAAAGTAATTTTTTCCACAGCTGGACTGTCCTTTGGGTAGTCTCAATGGTGAGCTTTCTAGAGATTCATACCTAACTTGTATTAAAAGTCAATAGAAATTGTCTTTGCAAATCACATAGAGGGAAAAAAAACACAGAAGAGTCCTACACATACAAATGAACCAAATTACTCACCCATTTTACTCCCTTTGTTAAAAGCAAACAGCAGTATCAATGTGTAGAGATGATTTTTGTAAAGGGACAAACATTTTCTATCTCATCCCTTTTTACTCTTTTTTGGAAGAATGCAAAATTAATTTTCCTCACACTCCACTTGCTCAGCAAATTGGATTAGAATTCAAAATGCTTGTAAATCTACTCCTCCTGTTTCCCAAATATTCATGCTGTACCACAGCCACTATGAACAGCGCTCCAGAAAGAGGGGGACAATAAAGCTTCTGAACAAAAGCCCCCTAACACTCAGAAGGGGCTCAGGCCTGGAGAGGACACAGTGACCGCTCTGTGTCAGGATGCAGGGGAGACAGGGCAGCAGACAAAGCCTCAGTGTTTCTGAGGAAAGATAATGGTATGATCTGACCAGCTTCTAGCAGGCGGCCCACACAACCGGCTGCCATTAGTCATCTCCAGGAGAAGCCAGAATGCCAAGCAGCTCTGGGAGGGCAGCTCCTGACGGGCCATTTGAAAAGTGCAAAGCAGGCAGGGACATCAAATTTCCATTGAAACTGAAGTGGCTGGAGGAGCGCTTGGTCCCAGAATTCTCTCTGCACACCGCCTCAGCTTCCTTGCCCATTGTGCAGGCC